AAATTGACTGTAGCTGAAATAAGCATGAAGTAAATTATAGAAAAGATATTGGGAGGCTCACATAATCTCCAAGGAGGCTGGAAAGTGGGGAGGAACCAATGGGGTCCAGTAGCAGCCAGGAACACAGTCAAATCTCACCCCAGGAACCATCTATCTCATGAGGATACCACCATCATTCCTAGAAAGCCGACACCGCTTCATCCTCTGCTGGCCCACCTTTGCCATTACCCTCGCTTCTTTGCATTCCTGACTCCAGATTCAAAATAATAGGCAACTGATATGATGGTAAAATGAAGATTTACTACACAGAAATCAATATTATCCTTGCCTGTCATTATAAGGCCATCATATCAAAACAAAGGATATAAGATCTTTTTGCAAGATTTTAACCACATAATGTGATATAACAAAGCCACAACAATCAAGGAGGCTTGCAATGTATTTAACTGCCTACAGGATTAATAGTACATGTCAATCAGTAGTCAGTGGGCAGCAGTTCACTTTTTACATAAAATACAATTCTTTAATGGTGTAGGTAATTCACCAGGCTTTAGGATGTGATTATATAAAACGAAAAGAAGTTATCACATTGAGGAATGGAAACATGTTGTAGCTGAAAGGAATCCAAAGCTAGCCAAATTCAATAAAAGCTCCTTATCTCCATGCTGGGATGCATGTCATTAGCTCAGAGGAGATTAATTTCTACATTCATATTTCAATTTCTTTCCTGGCAAAGAATAAAACTGAGAGTTTTTGAAATACAATCTTCTTGCTTAATCAAATGTTGAGAGTCTCATATCAACATGAATGGAATAATTAATAAATTGTGGCGATTCCCCAAACTAAAAGGTAGTGGTCCTACATAAGTTTCATCTATGCTTACACGCAAATACTCCTTTCAGATAGGCCTTTTGAGTCATGGGAGAGACACATTCCTTCATCTTTAAAGAGAACTGAAAGATTAGTCACACACACAGTAGGTACTCTGTAATTATCCATTGATTGTATACATAAAATTTAATCCATAGAGGAGAAAAGTATGTAATTAATAAACCTCCTGAGAAAATTGTAGGCAAGGGAAACAATTCCCTTCTTAAAAAATGATTACAAAAGGCAGCTCACACAAACTGCTGCAGAAATTAATATTATCCACATATTCAAAAGTTAATTCACCAAACCAAATTTACACTCTCAATCAGATGTAAGTCCATTTTCTGTGCAAGAAAATGAGACTCTCACTCAATATCTTATCATTATGAATTGTGTTATAAAACAAAAGGTTTGCATTATCCATTTTAAACAAATGTTCAAATTAACAAGCTTTCCATAACTATATAGCAAAACATTCTATTGCCCAAAGAGATATAACAAAATGAATCATTAAATATCTGCAGATTACACAGTTTCTATAAATTGCACCTTAGAACCTGCCACATCTAGTTTTAATTCAATCTTCTAATTTTATTAATATGCATTTTCCATCTTAAAAATGCTGACTCACACATAAAAATCTCCCAAGAATATCATCATCAAGTTAGCAAAGAGGAAAAATGCTTGGGGAGGACATTAAATCTAATCTGGCTGGGTAGCAATCCCATCTTTGTCAATTATTAGCTGTACAACCTAGGCAAGTTTTTAACCTCATCTTCCCTGTTTCCTTGCTTTGTAAAATAACAAGGCTGCACTAAAAATGGCAGGATTTGGCAACTCATTGAATATGATAGACATGAGAGGCATTAAAGATGATCTGGAAGTATCTCAGCTGGGTACGTAGAGGGAGATAAGAGGAAGAGAAGGTTTGAAGCAACCCAGAGATGACAAGTGTTATTTGGGCCAAGAGAGTCGGAGACACCCATAAATGGATGGTCAACAGACAAGGAGGAGTGTGGGTTCAGACACAAAGAAAGAGATTTTGAGATCATCCACACAGAATTACCGGAAATCATAGGTATTACTAATAACATTTATTTTCAAAATATTTTATAAATATAATTTTATTTCAAAACACATCCAAATATGAATAGAGCAGAAAGGTAAGCAAATATATTTTAATCACTTACAAACTTTTAAATTAAAATATGAAGTCTCCTACCACATGATTGATAGGATACTGATTATCTCATCTCTGATTTGTCTACAAATTTGAATCGCGATAGCAGTGAACCCCTTGGAATTATGATGATGCCAATAAAATCTTATATAGCACTTATCACATATTAGGCATATTATCCTTCTATGTAACTTTTCTCCACTAAAATACCTTAATTATAAGGTGAAGGTCCCATTTCAGGACAATCAGAAAGATATATGTGTGATCCATCTTTAACCCTAACCTCAAATCTATTTGGTATAACTTCAACTGTGCTCTTGGTTCTTGTCAATCTTGTAGCGACAAGAACGTCAACACTTTAAAGTTTTGCCAGATGCTTCTTGTTTTGCTCTCCCCAGGCAATCTCAGTGACATGCATACTTCCTTGTATATTGACTACCAACTTGTTTCATTTTTAACCAACTAGACTTGGTACCCTCTCCTCTTCCAATACTATAAATCTCCCCTCTGATCAAAGCCGTCTACTCAACAGCAAAAACCAGAGGAAACCTTCTTTCTACCAAAACTACTCACTGAGGAAGAGAAGGATTACTCATTCATTCACCAAATGAGGTGCTTAGATTAGTTCTCTAAATTCCCTTTAGCTCTGTAGTTGGATCACGGAAAGGCCCTCGCGTGGCCATGCCACCTAAAGGATTATCACAGGGTATGCACAAGCCAAGGCACACACAGCCACATCATTCTCAATCCTTTTACCCAGTTTGATTTTCTCAAATCCACTCCTCCAGAACCAAATGGCTGTTTAAAAAGTTTATTTTCATTTATTATTTTTAATCTTCTTTTATTTAAACTTGCTTTATTGTTTGTTCCCCTCCCTTCACCCCAGCCCCAACATGTGAACGCCACCTTGCTAATTCCTCCAGAGCAAAAATTCTCTTACAGACACAGTAAACAATCCCCAACCACAAAGTGGTGGCTAAAGAAATGCTTATAAAACAAATCCACGACTAAGAAGCCAATTAGCTCAGTAAGCCCAAATGTCCATGCAAATCTGCAAGATAAGTCCTCTCAGCTGTGCTACAGCCTAAGGAGGGTAATCAGCTGACTTCCAGAATTCCCTTAAGAAGGAGCCTTAGACCTGGAATACTAGAGTGTCAGCACATTTAAGAAAATAATGGGGAAAATGAAGACCAAAGACCAACTTGAACTTTACATTTTTTTGCTCTCATTACCCAATCCCCAAACCACAGGAGTATAAAACAAAAATGATCCTTTCATGTAAAAAGGTTGGAATATTAACCTTTACTGAGTCTATTACCACAGATCACTGAGGAGCTCTCATCCAGGTTTAGGACTAATTTTCCTGGGTTTTTTTCACCACAAAAACCAACTTTAATAGTTTTTGAAAACGAAACCAATTTTCATTTCTTAAACTATAAGTCACTCTCAATTTCTACATTTAGCATCTGAAAATTACAAATTAATTCCCTTCTAGAACGTAAGTTCTAAGAAGAAAGAGGGCTCGCTTCTCTTCCACAGCTGTATCCACAGTGCCTAATACACGTGGTTGACGATCAATAAATATTTGTTGAAGGAAAGAATAAACATACATTCCAATTGACATAACACAGAAAGAATCTGGCATATAAGCATCTGGGAGAACTTTGAAAGGGAGATAAAAGAAGAACAATTACTAGCTGAAGTACCTCATTGCTTACTCTTAAAAGAGAACAGAAAATTGGTAAATTGAAATATGGAGCCTACCTCTGTCTTGCACTCTCAAACTTTGCTACTGCTGCCTGGGCAAGGCCAGGCAGCAGATGCTCTATTCTTTATTTTTAGTGGGAAACAGCTTCTCTCCAAGTTTGCAGGCAAAGACAGCACATGCACATCCTTCTAGTGTCCAAACCTGCGCTGTCCAATATGGTAGCCACTAGCCACGTGTCCAACGAGCACCCAAAATGTGGCTAGTGTGAAATGAGATGTACTGGAGGGGTGAAATAGAAACTGAATTTGTGAAGATTAGGACAAAAAAGGAATGTAAAATATCCCATTGATAATTATTTTATATTAACTACATGTTGAAATGATAATATTTTGGATATATTGGGGTAAACAACATATATTATTAAAATTAATTTCACCCGTTTCTTTTTACTTTTCTTAAGGTGACTTAGAAAATTTAAAATATTTATGCAGCTCACATTATATTTCTGTTGGACAGTGCTAATCCAGACTGACAATAAGAGAGTCCGTATGCCGACAGAGGAACGTTACTGAATAACAGACAGCGGATCTGATTCCAAATTTCACAATCTTAACTAGGGAAACTCGTGAGACCTTCTACCACGTACCAATGTACAGTCTCCCTTAAAGACTCACAACAGCATTGGGAGATAAACACATTAGGCTTCATTTACAAAGCAGGAAACTGGGGCAAAGGAAGAAGAGGGACTTATGCAACGTTACACAGCTGGTAAATGGGAGGGCAAAACAATGAACCAAAGTCAGCTTGGCTTCAAAATGCATGTTCTTCCCCCTTCTCTCCTCCAGTCACTCAGAGGGAACTTTCCCCACCCTCTACTAAGAAGCTTAAAAAAGGATGCCAACTACCTTTCCTGAGTTACCCTGTGATGGGCTTCTCTTTGACACTCCACTCCCTTCAACCATATTTCTCCCAGCCACTAAACCACAGATAAGAGAATCGGGTGAAATGGTGACTGAAAAACTCAGAAAAATTACCATAGAGTGACATCCCATATGCTGCTCGCTTGTGTAAAAGAATAAAGTTTTCCTAACTGGGCTTTTTTGTCTTCGCAATTCAAAGTTCTCCACTGTATTTGTCACTGTTAGTATAACTCGCAACACTGAAATTTAACTAGTGGGAAACTGCTATCTGTGAATTCACTAATTTGGGTCAGCGTGTGTCACCTGTAATGACTTAGCTTACTTAGTTTCTTGGCGGCCTCCAGAGCTTCATTCGCAGTGTCTGCTACAAAGAATCTTTGAACTTTCACTCCATTGTCAGACATCAGCTTCTTGCTCTGGTATTCCTGCAGATTCAGCCATCTTCTGGGGGTTAATTGCACCGCCTACAGAAATTGGAGGAGAGAGGTACGAACACTTATAAATAACAAGAAAAATAACAGTCAACCTATATGGCCAGTCTTATAGGTACCCTCAAATGGCAATCAGCAATGCAGATTTTAGAGGCAAGAGAAAAAAAATCTGTATAAAATCTTTATGCTTAATTGTTTTTCTAATCAAAAATGTTAAGGACAAGTACACACATACACAAATGAGTGTAGGTTTAAAAAAATTGGTGGGAACTGAATAAGGTCTATAGTCTAATTAACGGGAATGAACCAATATCAATTTCCTAGTTTTCATACTGTACTAAAACTATATAAGATGTCAACACTAGGGGAAGCTGGGTGAAGGGTACATGGGACTGCTGTACTCTTTTGGCAGCTCCCTGTGAGTCTACAAGAACTTCAAAATAAAAAATTATTTGAAAAAATTTTAAGAACTCTATTATATAGCATACGCCTTCCCCATCCCCATGCTAAATAAATAAAGCTCATAGCACTCTATAAATAACTGTATGCAAATCGTTAATCATTGTAAGGTATCTCAGGAAGATTTTTTTAACTTTTTGAGGTCAAGGGGCCACAAACTAATCAATTTCTTCACCATAGTTTTTAATGAGTCTAGGTACAGTCATCATACATTTAATGAGATTATCTCTAACCAAAGTTGAGTACAATAACCTGAAAGAGTCACCATTAAATAAACTAATTCCTAAAAACTGCAACTTGTGTATTAAAGTAACCTTGCTTAAGTATCATGTAGATGTGGTTTTCAAATATGCATTATCAATTAGTTTTTATCTGTGCTGAAAGAAAATCAAAGGGCAGAATGGCATGAACAAATAAATTCTTCTCATTTTATCTAATAAGATCAAGAGCATTTCATATCAAATCCATAAGCCCCATTTTCAAGGGAAAAATGAATACACTTAATTTTTATAATCCCCCCCCCCCCCAAACCCCCAGTAGATAGTTGTATGTCATAGCTGCACATCCTTCTAGTTGCTGTATGTGGGACGCGGCCTCAGCATGGCCGGAGAAGCGGTGTGTCAGTGTGCGCCCTGGATCCGAACCCAGGCCGCCAGCCGCAGAGCGCACGCACTCAACCGCTAAGCCACGGGGCCGGCCCTGAATACACTTAATTTAAGCATGTTTCCACCCATGAGTCATGATGCAAAGGAACCACTACTCACAGGAGGTAGAATGACGACGCGATTAATGCACAAACGAATCAAAAAAAATCAGTCACACAAGTGGATCACAAGACTGGTGGTGGAAGATCACCTGACACAACTCCTAGTGGTTTCTGTCAGTGGCTTCAGAAGACATCCAAGGCAGTATCACACAGACCATAAACTGAGGTCCACAGGGCTCTACCACACAGAACCATTAGCTTTCAGGACCTCTCAAGTGTCTTTCCAATGGCATTTTCCTGTGGAATCACCAAGCTACCACACATTCATGGAGCTCTTTTGGACAAGGGACATTCCAAAGATACTCCAGAACCTTACAATTCAAGGGTGGAGTGTGTCTTCAACTTCTTTGTATCATTATGAAGAATGCAACAGTGCTCGGCATAGGAAAGATACTCAAAAAATACCAATTATATGGCCAAATGAATAAGACTTGTCTTTTGTCCTATTGTCCCCGGATACAGATAACTTTTCATTCCCAGAAACAGATCTTCTCTAAAAATAGAAAAGTAAAAGTCCTTCAGACTTGAAATAAACGTAATATAATTTACACACACTTCTAAAAAATTCAAATTTTGACATGATCAAGTCTAAAGATTTCTCTCAGTCCCATCACTGTGAACACTGGTAATGATGCATTTAATATTGAAGTTGCCCGCTCTTCTCCTTTAAAAATAAATAATAGTGGGATAAAAATAAATGGCCAGACAAGCAATGCTTATATCATTTACTGTATATCATTTGTTAATGATATATGATTTGTTAATCTTCTGAATTTTTAAGTCTCAATGAAACATCAGTAATTTGAAAAACACAATTTCAAAAATGAACATATTCTTTATCTTAAGTCTTACTAGCACATCACACAAACTACAAAGAAAAATTCATGTGTAAGGCATTTAGTAAAAGCCCCCTAATGAAAGAAAGGAGTATATGATAGCTATATGCCATATTCTGGGACTAGTTTTAAAAGGAAAATGGCAAGGATCAATAGATTAAATCTACGTTGACATATCAATTTAAAACCATTAGCAGAAAAGGAAAAAAAAATATGGTTTGAAAAGAGCCTTTGAGAGAAACTAAAAACAGCCACAGTGTGGTTGTGGTCAATTCCTTTTCATCAAAACATTCACTGTATTAATTTTAGATATGTTAGTGCAATCTGCTGCAAACTAATTGCAATTGATCTAGAGACCAGCTTCAAAGACATATAATACATATTGACTGTTTCGGCATTGACTCAAATGGAAGCCTGCTTAAAGTCTGCTGCTCTTAAATTGAAAACCAACACAGTGAAACACAGTTCCAAAGCCAAAGCTGACACCTAAGCTATCACTCCACAAAGCGATCATCTTACAGAATTATCACCTATCGTTGTCAATCCCAAACTTGGAAGAGTAGGGTACCTGACGGGTCTAAAACTTCATTAACTCAACTCCATTTATTAGGAACTTGTGATAAGTCTAGAGAGCAGCAACTTAAGTTCACTTTTGCATTTTCACAGGAAAGAAAAAAGGAGAGGAGAAATTTACTAAGCAAATGGATGGCGTAAAGTATGCTGGAAATGTGATCAATGGCTGAATAATAACAACAATAATAATAATAGTTCCATCCACTATTGATTGAGCATTTACTACATGTTAGGCCTTATAAGCACTCCTGTTATCTAGTGGTCAAAACAATCATGAAAGTCAAGTATTATTTTCTTTCTCTGTAGCTGTCGCTAACACAAACCAACAAATATTCCTAACCTGGCTCCTTCTAGGCACTTCCTTCCCTTAGCTGAAGTTAGGTGAGACGGTGTAACTAGTTCTGGCTAGTCAGATGTGAGAACATACGGTGTGAGACATCTGGGCCAATATTTGATTGCCAGCCCTCCCACCCATCCAAGTTCTGTCTCTTGACCTGGGCAATGGTAATATTCAAAATGCAGCTGAGGACCAACACATCCCCAGGTGACCCACCATGAATGTGCAGTGAAAACTAAACCTTTGTGAATTTTTAGCCACTGAGATTCTGCGGATTATTTGTTACTATTGCAGAACCTAGCCTATTTACAGCACCTAGCCTGTCCTAATAAAACCATCTCACAAATTAGGAAACCCAGGCTGAAGGTTAAATCCCTTCAAGATCACAGGTGGCTATAAAACAGCAGGCTTCTCTGATCAACAGTATTGATGGACTGTGTAATACTGTTGGTTCCCTGTGTTTGTATTCTGGCCCCACATTCCCAGAGGCCCCTCACTGGGATGAATAAGATCCCACGTTCCTGTCTTCAAAAGAACAAAAGTCTACCTGGAATAGGACTTGCACAAAACATTGGCACAGCACTTGTAAGGAAAAATGTAACTGCTCCAGGCTTTTGGAGGGAGAGAGGTGGAGATGTGAGCAGGTGCTGTCCTAAGACACGTGAACGGTAGAAGTACTAGTTTATTTTAACTCCTAGAAAGAGCTACCTATTAAAACCTGAGACTAATACCTTCATTGGAGGAGAAATCAGGAATCTCCCAGGGAATCCACGAACTCTGGAATGTGAGTAATGGAAGAGAGTTTCAAGTTAATCATCTGACCCAGTGCCTTTCAATTGCTTCTGCCAGTTATTTGCCTGCTTGCCTTCAGGTCAGTCCCCATGCTCTTTGCTAACTGGGTTCTGTCTGAATTTGAGACTCTGTTCAGAGACTGGACAGTGAGAGCAAGACACCAGGCTATATCTTTCTCTTTCTGAGTTGGGCAGCAACTCCGGCAGTGACTACATCTCCTCTGAAGCTCCAACTCCTTCCAGAAAGCCCTTTCTCCCGTAATTCCAGCTCCCAGTATTTCCCCCACCACGACTCCTGCACCCATCAGCTGGCCTTGCATTCTGATAATATTACCTCCTTCCACTCCCCAGGCTGGTAGAAGATTCCCACAGTTGCCAATCTCTGGGTTGCCTCCCCAGCCCGTTTGCCTTCTGATGGTTCTAACACTTTTGTTAACTAAAGGTCTTCCCCTGTTAAATTCTATTAAACAACCTGGTACTCCACAGAGCTGAAGGACCCTTTGAGGCACAGGAGCGGAAGTGGAATGGCGTGGTCACTTACAACGGCAACTTGGGGACTCGACTCTGCAGCACTTCCCCAGGCAGTCACATGTTTCATGTATTGGATTTCCAAGGTATGAAAGGACTACTGGGGTCCAACCTCTTCATTTTACAGTCAAGAACCTTGAGGCCTAAAGAGAGGCAGTAATGTGCCTAGGGTTCCTATAGTGAGCCAGAGGCAGGAAGAGAATTGGAGTAATTCTAATTTTCTTTCCTTCTTGCATATGGATTCTGGCAAAGTGACCGTATTAGGAACAGCATCATGTTGTCAAAACAGTTGGGGTGGGTGGGCACCTGGGTTTAGTTCCTGTGGGACTTGTACACTGACTTTTCCCTTGCTCCTTTCCCTTCCTGGTTTCTTTGACAAAGCAACCCTTTCTAAGCATGGAGGGGAAGGGGAAAACACAACTTAAAAGAAAAGCAGCACATAAAGATTTAAGGGCCTATGGGAACAAGGGAGCAGAGGCAGAAGAAAAAGAATGAAAAATGAGGGAAAGGACAAAGAGAACCAAGAGATAAAAAGACAATGACTAAGCAAAAATTCACAAGAAAACTCAAAGCACAAAATTAGACAGCTGCACAGACAAAAACTACACGACCAAGAAATCACCCTTCGCCCCATGGTTTTAAAATTAGACGTGTAGAGACTACTGCACCACGGGAGGAAAAAAAAAATCAGTAAAGGGAATACAGAAAGAAATGTCATTGAGCTGGGTGCCCCCTAAAGGGAG